TCTTACGATAAAAGGGTTACCATTATAGTTTCTCCAGAAGTTTATAAGAAGTTATCGGATGGGAAAAATTCCTTCAAATGGGAGACATCGCAGCGTATTTATATCCAGGAGATTCTTTATTGTTTACTGTTCACTATTGCACATTGTAATAGTTTTTAAATGTTGAATAAGTGTTGCCTCGTTTTCCATTCCGCTACCCAAGCTGTGTAATACCTTCTCTTAATTCTGACAGCATTTAAATCTGCACTGCTAAATGCACGGAAACGTTACGTCTATGGAGTTTATGGAAACGTGTATGGAATTTGTGGAAATGTTACGTGTATGGAATGACCATACAGTTCACGCGTTCGCGGTTGGCAGTAATTGTATGAGATATATTAGGAAGATATATTCGAAGTCTTAAAAACACTGATATATTTTTGTGATTTATATTCTCGCTGTTTTATAACACTGAGAATCATACCCTCAAAATGTCATAGAGAACCTTATTCGTGGCATCATTCATGAATACCAAACCTGCATTTCAAACTGAGAAAATAAAATACGATAGTAATGAGTTCAATACTGCGCATTTAAATTTGAAAATTTGGCATGGTAGAGAAACCTCGGTTCGCGAATTTAATTTATTCTTGAAGTCCGTTCGTTATCCGAAATATTCATAAATGGCAACAATTTTCCTCTTAGGAATTAATGTCTGTTAATTAATCTGTTCCTGTACCACATATAATTGTTCATTTAAAATTTAATTAGAGTATCTCGTACATACGTTCATAACCCAAACCTATAGAAAGCATTAAATCTAAGTTTAAAAAAAAAGGAAAACACAATATTAAACAGATTTATAATGATTGAACGAAAAGAGTGAAAACCACAACTAGAACGTGTCCAGGAAGAGAAAAGCAAATGTTATTGTTTACAGGACGAGTCTCTTTTAATGAAAACATTAGGTACTGTCTTTCTAGGCATCTTACTATTTTCTTAATATCTTTGGGCCCTACGACTTTGCTTGAGACTCACTGGGCCTCAATTTTACTCAAAATGTATCCAATGCAATCTCTTGTCGTGTAGATTTAAAATTGTAATAGTAAGACATGCCATTGTCGCTGAAAACCTTGTCTGCTTCCACTTTATTAGGGTAATAACATTACATAAAACTTTTCCCTAACCCCTTTTTGCACAGATTTCATGGATATCCTTCTGTGTTACTGCTTCTGAAGTTTTTCCAATTCTTTCTGGTTGAACTTGTTCGTGTGGTGTCCTTTAGTATCTTTTCTACATCTTCACTGTTAATGTGGTCTATGGTTTTTCATAAAGAGAAAATATCATAGATAACAAATAATCTCTTAGTGTCAAAGCCCTTAAAATCTGTGCCTGCAACACGAATTTTAACACAAATCATAATTTACTTTATGGTGACTCATAGTCCTGCAAATCTTCTATCAGGCTTTGCAAATAACAGTTAAGCAACAGAAAATATTAAAATGGACGATTCTGATTAACTAAACTCTGAACCAGAAATACCTCAAAGTAACTTTGAAAATCGTTTGTTCCTCATTTGAGTGTTCGTAACTGAGGACATCTTTCGTTGTTCGTAAATGAAGACGTCTTTCGTTTATGTTTAGATAATTTGTTCGGGATAAGAGATTTACGTGATCAGAAATTCCACATTGTGGTGAAAAAAAAATAACATATTCGTTAATTTATTTTCTATTGTTATATATACACCATAGTCGCTTCTCGTTATAAACCTACCGTGCACATTTCACTCGGTTTTATGAATCATATTTTGCTTTAATAGTTGCATTTGTTTTGAAGCCTTGAACAATAATGTACACCTAGTTTTCGGTTATAAAATTAACAAAACATTAAAATATTTTCTTTGAACATTTGCATTGCAATATAAGAAAAATTATATTGTTGCGTTCTACGGGTTCTTGGATTTGGAGTAACTGGCGATAACACTTGATGAAGAATCAAAACATAAGTTATTCGCCAGTACTACATAGGATAATTTCAAAGACACGTTTAAAGTCATCGAAAAACTACGTCAAACACGCCGAAACAATGAGCAACACAGCCTTGAGACTACAACGGTGAAGACAGTTCCACGGCAAAGTACTAAAGTGCAGATCCCCATTGGGTTCGGTTGCTGTCAAGCTGATCTCTGAACTCAGAACACTACTACTGAACTCAACATATTACTCTACTCAGCGTATAGGCTTTTAATGTATCTTCGAAAACATCGATTTATCTAGGAAACCGCTAAGAATGAGTTCTAGAATGTTCTAGAACTCATAGAATCGGCATATCGCCAATTTGGTCGCCAAATGGGCGATTCCGCGCCAAAACTGGCAGCTCTGCTTATCAGGTTCAATGTTTCTTCTAACCTTCTTCGGAAACATACAATGACCTGACTAGGAACAGAGAGCTTACTAAAGCTATGTTCACTAATTGTAGTAAGTAGACAGGATACAGACGAAGGGTATACAAGACCCTTTATTTTTTCTTTATATACAATGACTTCCGTACTTCCGTACCCTCCACTCGGGGTCTAACGTAAAAGGTATAAAAATAAAACTAAACTCTAATTTAACTTTAGAATAAGATTGGCCTTATAATAACAGGAAGCGTATGTAGCACAGAGACTGTGAACACTACAATACGTTTAATTTATCAAGAGGATTAAAACCTCTGGCCTGGAAGGCAAATAGCAACTGCGTAACTTCTAAGGTAAGCGGCCTGCTTCGAACTCACTGCTTCCTCTCTCCTGCTTGGCAAAAAGGCCACACTTAAAATACTTGGCGTTCGCCAGACAACTTTGCATAAAATCCTTCACGCTTATAATTCTGGCCGGAAGTAGAAAATAAAAAGTGATAGTAAAGATTTAAAATAAAATAAACGTTAGTCAAACTTAAGATCCTTACATGCTTTCTGGCAACCCTAACCCCGTTTTGCTTGGAAGCTATCTATCCGTGTAAGGATTTATTTTATTCTAACCAATTGTTTTTAGTTTGACTTTCCTGTCCCTCCTGATTTTAGTTTCCTGCCGGAATGTAAATTTTGTAATGATGTGGTATCCAAATTCTAAACGTGTTTCAGAAGCAGTATTTAAGCTGCATTTCAGGAGTTCAAAAGTGCAGTAGTAGCGTACTTAGTTCGAATGTTTATGCTGCGAATTTGAAGTTAGCTCTGTAGATTTATGTCTGACACCTTTCAGTTTATGCTGATACTCCCGGCTCGGCTTTTCTGTGTGCAGCCGATTTAGCGTTAGTTAAGCCAGTCATTAGATGTCTCAATTTACGAGTGATTTGTTACATTCTTATATTACTGTTAATGTACACTGCGAAAAAAAAAAGTGGACAGTTCTATAACTCCCGTTCTACTGGGCCGATTGACGAAATTCAAATTGCGTTTTTCATGCCTTGAAAGCGCGACTTGGGATGTATATTAGATTTTTACGTAGCATTGTTCTGACATAGGTATTCTGACACAAAATGGGACTTTTTCTGAAATAATATACCAATTGTTTTTCCATATTTCGATAGTACAATTCAAATTAAGCCTAAATTAAATTATGTAAAATTTGGTGCGAAATTTACAGAGAAGTTAAAAAATTATCTTGGCGCGTTTTTTTAGTGTGCACAAGAATAATTTATTTGCTGAACTTCTTAATATATAGCAACCTATTTTCCTTTCCCTTCCATTGTACAGGAGAGGAAAAAAGTCCTATCCTTCCTAACTTTTTACATTATGCATGAGCGAAAAAAAGTCACATCGTTCCTACTTTCAAATAATTTTAACAAAGTGTCTGAATCACATTTGATGTTATTATAGCTTTCAATAAATATGCCAAATTTCAAAACGCGCCAATATATAAATCCACGTATATTTTCGGAAATTTTGAATTAAAAACTCTTAATTTTTTGCAGGTATACTTATAAATATATCTCATTTAAGATGATGGTAAAAATGTTATAGATTATAATTCAATTTTTTTTCCAAAAATTTATAAAAATTATTTAAAAATAAAAATTTTTAAAATAAATCATGAAAGGCCAATTTTATTTGGAACCTAAAAACCTAAATTTCGAAATGTGAAAGGAAGAATCAAATAGTTTAATAAAAAAAGAAATAATAAATATATACCAAATATATACCAAATTACCTTAACATTCAGGAACTAAAATTTTGAGAGCTAATGTTTTAAAAACTACTTGGGCGATTTGTACAAAACTTGGCAGTTTGGCATAATTTGAGTCGTAAGATCGAAATATGGGAAAAATTGACATGTCATTTCAGAAAAACTCGGATTTTGTGTCGAAACACCTGTATTAGAACAATGCTATATATAAATCTAATACATATCCTAAGTCGCGCTTTCGAGGCAAGAAAAACGCAAGTTGAATTTCGTCAATAGGCGCCCATTACAACGGGAAATATAAAACTGTCTCTCTCTCCACCCCTCCCCCCTTTTTTTATCGCAGTGTACGTAGCCACAAGTAGTGGTGATTTGTGAACACGAAGTGCGTGCATGTGTTTATGTTAGTTTAAAATAAAAAAGTTATTTAAAACCTTCTTCTGCAGTTTATTTTCAAAAGACAGCGAGAATTCGCAACTTCGTCTCCGACAGAAGTTCAAATATTGTATGTTACCAAAGGCTCACTTAGGCTCCATAATCGCAGTTGGGCGTTCGGAAACAATATATATACGAATAAAACACCCAAATAATTCCATCAAAATATTACGTAGCAAATGACTTTTAAGATTCTTAAAACGCATTAATCATTAATTATATTAATATGTATTTGGATATTCATGGTAGCAGCAACCTTTTAATGTAATTCAAAAATATGTTTTAAATTTTACGTCTTTTTGTAAACTCAGATACAGCAAATGAAAAATATCAGTTTATATTTGTGCAGCTTGAATGCTAAGCGATTTCATAAATTATTTCTTTATATTTTTATTTAATTTCAAATTTGCTTAAAAAAATTTTGCAGGATGCAGCAGAAAAAGCCGTGATTCCAAGCACTTAAGGAATTCATAAATCTTATACCTACAGATTTGTGGAGATGAAATTTCGTCTGGTCAAAACTCGGATAGCAGTTTGTAAAATATGTCAAACTTTCATCACCGTTGAAATTTCGTTTCTGTGACGTCCAGGAAAGGAGGAAAAGAAATACGAACGCTATCCGGAATTCCGTATTTCCCAAGACAAAGAAATGTGATCTCAATATATGTTCTTCTGCCTATTCCATTTCGTATGTACATCAATATTCCAAGTACAAAGAATGTAGTAATATTTAATTAAGAAGAGAGAAAAAAAAATACTTGGGATTTTTAAGCATAAAAACAGCTTTTAAGAACAAGGTATATTTCTACTTGTCTTCCTATCTTTCTTTTCTGGAATTTTCTCTAGACTGAGAAATCATTTTTCTAGCAAATCAATGCCGGTACTGATTTTGATGCTTTCTGAATTTCGTCATGATTACTGATATTCCTGGTAGATTTTCAAATCAAATTGCACGAGCATTGGATCAGGTCCTCATAGAGAGTTTCCAATGTTATTGAGTTTCGAAGATAAATTTTCTCGAAATGCGTGCTTTGTCTGTTAAAAGATTTTAAATCGAAATCAGTATCGAGCAGATTTGATTTTGCTTTCATGAGCTTCTTTTTTCATTCTTTGAGCTTAGTAAAAACATAAAAAAAGACATTCAGTACATTAGGAGATCAAAAAAATAGAACTGTTAGACACATTTTATCATTTTATCATACATGTACTATAATTCCAAAAAGTTAATCTAAAATTATCACATATTAGTAAATACTGCAGTTTCTTAAAAGAAAAACATTACTTCGTGTTTAAGAATTTTTCTAATTTAAAAGTGCTTTTAATTAATCAACAAGAATATTTTTGCTTATGCGTTCAAAACGAACTTTCACTGTATAAAGAACTCGTTTATTCATTTTTCAGGAGTTATATTTAAAGTAAAAATGTTTACCGTAAAATTATTTAAAAATTAAAAATTTTACCATAAAAAATGTAACCAGGTTCTGTTACATATTTATATTAGTACATAAATTGTGAGGCCAAATTTATAAATCTGTGATTAAAACTGATTCATGTTTGCGATTACGTACGAATATCACACAAATAACGAATTTTGAATATATATATATACGTATCGCAAGAGTTACAGAAATAAGTTATGGGATTAACATAAATAAATAAGTAACTACAAAAGAAAAAAAAACATATAAAAAGGCAAAAATAAAATAGTAATCGTAATAAACATATTAAAATTAACATAGTCGAATATCTAAATTAAGAACATAATTCGGAAAGGAAGGTACGTTTCGTTAAATCCTAAAATCTCAGAATTTAACGGCCAAGATGCAAAAAAACCTCTTAAAGAGGTGGAAGGTCTTAAAACTGCCTTGCCCAGTCAAACTCTGAGCCATTTAAAGGCTACTGAAAAATTATTAATCATTAAACTGTAGGTAAAACTTTTGTCAATTGTGATTTTAGGAGTATAAAATATTCTGTTTTCCAAATGTAGAAGCATCTTTTCTCTATAAAATTATTTTCAGAGAGAAACTGAGACGCTTTTGTTACTACTAAGCTCAAGGTTTAATGTATAACTTGTTAATGTTAACTCAAGGTTAATGTATACTTCGTTAAAGCATCGGCCCTATCATTCTAGGTTTTCTACAGTGTATTCGAACACATGCAAAATGAGTGTGACTATTAAGTGTTATAATTTCAATTACATTGTCCGTATTGTTTTTTAAAGAAAGGCAATGATCTTTATGTAATTCTTCAGTTTCATTTCTGAACTTAAAATATGGATAAACGAGGGTCTTCTGCAAGTATTATGAGAAACTCCAGAAATAAACAACAGGACCCATTAAGGTTACATAAACACATAATTTATAATATTTTATTACAAAGCAGTGTGAAAATTTGAAAATGAATTCGAAAGATTTTAATGCCTTAAACAAGAATTCATTTTGTATTCTTGGAAACGTTAATTTTCTAGTCATGACTTTTAGATGTCTCATAATGTGGAATTCCTCTAGCAATTCAGGGAAAACTGAAGGATTTTGCACATACACAATTATTAGCAGTTTTTTTAATTCAAAAGTTATCGACTTTATTAAGCACTCTATGGAAAGAGAAATTTCATTAATTTTAGTTTTCCATAATTTATCTGTAACATATGCTGGCAAACATTACGAAACCAGGCGCAATGGATATTATGTTATCACCAAGTTATGTAGGTGAAGTAACGTTATTTATTATTTTTGGTTTTAATACTTAAATAGAAGTTATAAAGTTTAAGAAATTATTCTTAATGTTATCCAAAGGTCATTTGAAAATTCCAGTTTAAAGTCATAAAATTCCAGTTTAAAGGCTGACCTAATTCATGATATTAAACACAAAAGATATTCTTTCACGTTTGCTGATTGCATGTTGCATATTAACTCTTCTCCTTTAGCATTGATAAATAAATTATGAATTCTCATACGTAAATGTTAATAATATTCTTTGTTATTCCTCATATTTTCATCGTTGTGATAAAGAATGTTATTACATATTGTTCCTTTGGGTATTTTGATATGAATTCTTTAAAAATGCAATTTGATAATTAGCATTTTAATGTTATAATTTAAAGTTATAAGCATTATTTCTGTGATATTATGTGTGTAAATTACTTTTTTTTTGTGGATATATGTATGTAAAAATTACTTATAATTTCACGCTAACAAAAGATACGTTTTATATTTATTTATACTGTATTTCATTCAACTTATGTATATGCTGCATCTGTTTTAAAATACAAAAGTATGCGTTGGCTTGGAAAATGTATGAAAGATAATACTATTCGTAGTTGTATTTTCCTATGTATATAAAATATATTTACAATTTAACTATTGTATTTTAAAATAAATTGGAAATTGCTGTTTAATAATTTAAATACTATATTTCGAGGAAGGATATTTCTGAATCAAAATTGATGTTTTCAAATGTTGTATCAACATTTCATAATTATTAATAAATTTATCTCAAAAGATCAAAACTACTTTAAGCTCGTTCTTCAGTATACAGATTGTTTGATGACAAGTGAGAATAAGTAGATATAGTCTTTAAAAAATTATATTAATAATTCTCCTCAGCATTTCTTATGCATGAGAAAAAGTTGTGGTTTTAAAAAAAATAAATCTTTATAATCATATGGCGTGATAGATAACTTTGCAATTGCATTTGTTAATTTTAAACTGGTTACGTTTAATTAAACAAGACTGTAAATAATTAAATTTTAAAAAATATGTGCATATTTGCATTATAAGTTCGGCTAATTAAGTTGTAATTCAGAAAAGTTAATGTAGATAACTTTCTAAGTATTATACATGAAAATCCATCAAATTCGTGAAAATATATTACAAATGTTTACTTGCTGCTTTTTAATTATAAAAATAATCACATAAGATCACTAAGCATTCTTATTTTTTAAATGTTCACTACGAAGCAGTTTTGCGTTGTTAAAAATTCTTGCATAAAAAAAAAAAAAAAAAAAAAAAAAAAAAACTTAACAGTAAAATCCAGTTCAAAAGTGCATATTGTTTATGAACTGTCAAATTTTAGAACTCAGTAAGTCCTCATGGATTATAAATGACTCTAACATCAGACTTAAAAAAAAACTGCACTTTTAAATCACTTCTTGATTAAATTCAGCTAATTTTATCCGATTGTTTCTGTTTTAGCTCGTTATGGAAAGTTTTTTTCCTGAGTTACAAGACTAAAATATTGCTTAAATTTTGTAAAAGAATTTAGGAGCATTAAAATTTGTGATTATAGATATAAGGTTTAACAGTTTGCTATGTCATTTATTATTTAGCCATGCGTTCCAATAAAGGCCATATCTTAGATAAAGAATCAATGCCTAAATCTTGATATTTATGGTTTTGCCATACGTCCCAGTAAAAGAGATGATTATTTACTGGCTAAACGCATAGCAAGGCAGCAGCAATTTCATGAATTTCGGTTCGAGTAATTATAAATTACAGGGGAAATCAACCTTCTTTGGGTAAATTTTAAATAAATACAGTCTTTCATATTTAATTAGCATAAAGAGAATGATTCTTAGTTTTACATCTTAAAATGCAAGGAAATGATACGCTATACGTAATAACTGCACTTTGGTGAAACGAACATTTGAGTCTTTTATCTTAAGGAAAAAAGCATAACGTTGATGTTTTGATTCTTTAGCTTTGGGAACACGTACATGTCTTGGTAAATTTCACTTTATACTGAAAAAAATTATGAATATTCCTCCAAGTTTCTAAATTTTTCCAAGCGAATTTTTTTCCTAAACCATTTTTCTGCGCTTACATATTACATGTACACCTTTTTTTTAATGTAACACCTTTAGTTATCCCATGAAGTTAATTAAGTACTTTGCTATTTACTTTTACTTACTTACTCCATTTTCAGAAGAATTAACTGCACATAGACCTATTAAATATTCATTTTCTAAAAACTGTTAAGAAGAAGGAGAGAAAAAATTTTAATCAGTTTTATATTTCATGCAGAGGAGAAACATTTTATATTTATCTAAACATAAGATTGTTCTCTTAATTATCTAATGCGTGTAACTATAAATATGTATATTTAATTTACTTTCTAAAAATGTTTCCTTTAATTAAAAAAAAAAATAAGAATATTACTGACAAACTTTCAGAAACTGACGCTACTAGCAATTCAGAGGAAAATGTTTCGTATATTTTTATACGAATTTGAAAATTTGAAAGGCTGAATAACAAAGATGGGACTGAAAAAAAAGTCTCTATTATATTCGTTACAGAGAGAGGGATAAAAGAAAATAAATGAATATTTTTTGGTCCTACTTTAAATAAAGAGATAAACAGAAAAGTAGAAAATAACTTAGCAGTACGTATCTCAATGAAAATAATGAACTGATCGAATTTTGTGTATCCTCACAATGTATAAGAGTGTTTAGAAGCATGTGCTGTATTTCATAATGTGTTGATGATTCTGAGTAACAGGCATAATAAAAAAAGAATGATTTAAGAAACTGAACCTTCTTTTCAAATGTAGTACTCCTAAACAATTGTTACTGTCAAAGGGAAAACGAAATTGAAAAGCCCTTATGAGGAATGTGACGCTGCGCAATTAAAAGTAATTGAGCTAGTTACATGCGCCGACAAAGCAAAAAATAAGGTAAAATAATATTAAAAAAATAAATACATGGAACTAACTGATATACAAGTACGGTGCAGTTACATACATACAGTTTCTTTCCTGTTAAAGTTTCAGTTTAAGTTCTATAAAATAATGTAATTAAATAAAGAGTTAGCAAATAATAATTTAAAACTCTCGTTAAGGTTAAAACGCTACACATGTAATGATTTCACATTATTCTGATCATTTAAGATTAATGTTTAGGGAAGCTTTCTTGAGAAGTGGGGTAGCAAAAGTATATAGGTTTATATACATGTTAGACGTCTCTCAAGCAGCTAATGTTATTAAAAAATAATCATCAAAAGCTAAATCATTAAAATACTGTCAGAAGGTGGACTTTTTTAAAAAAAATTCTCTTTTACTTTTGAGCCAGAAGGATTAATTATTCCTAAATACATAAAGTAATAAACTGCCAATAAAAAATTAAGAAATTTAAGTTATTGAGTAATAAAAAGTAAATCCTTAAGATTCAGGTGCATGATATTTTAATTAAGAAAAGTGGCATACATTTATTTATCACATTAAAAAGTATTAATGTTTTACATTAAACAATTGGGAAAAAGTAATATTGTATTAGAAATGGATCTGTAACTAATTTCGAAGAATTTTCTTTTGCTCATTTATTTGTTGCAATTTTAGTAGCTTATTGCTGTTCTCATGAACACTCATAAAAGGCAAATTCTTATGAAAACAACGGAAGCAAGCCACAGAATGAAAAAGAAAAGTCTTCCGCTTTACTCTCTCGCAAAAAATAATCATTATGTAACATTAAGCAAAGTAATATTTATTTTTATTTCTAGTTTGTGTTACACAGGAAATTCGGATTAATACTTTTTCAGCCAGCAACTAAAACTTCTTTCAGTTCCAGTAATGTGTTAACGGAAACATGGATTTTCATGTTCTGCATGTTAAAGATTGAAAGGTTACTCAAAATGAATTACTAACCGATAATGACAAGAAGTCTTAAAATTTGTATAAAGTCATTAATGCATAATAAGCGTTATATGTGAAATGCACAGCATACTAACATTCTTATTGTGATAAAAACTTTAGCTAGAAATTATAAAGTTTTCTTACCATGTTCTCATATTGAAATGCATCTGAATTAAAAAAATAACCGCATAAGGATTAAATGCATCATAGTTATAAAGAAATTCGAAGTTTTTAACTCAAAGTAATGGACATTATACATTTTTGATGGAAACTTGCATTTAGTTTCCTTGTGTTTTTCATATTAGTGAGCGAGGTTTCATCTATTAGTAATGCTCCAGATTTGAATTAAAAGCACTACAGGCACTCATATTTGTACAGATTTCGTACTTGAACATTTAGTCATGACTTAAAATTTTTATGCATTTAAAATTTGAATTTATTCCCACTGTACTGAATGTAGAGAGTACCAAAAAAGTCTAAAGAAATACTCCTTCCTGTGGTTTGCCAAAGATGAACGTTAAACGTTTTATTGTATCATATCTGTTTCAATACGAAAAAAATAAACATCTTCTTCATTGTAGATTTGTCTGAATTATTTGTCCATTGCTATTACTGATTCTATGCTTTAAACTCACGATATCTCCAAATTGTAATCTCTATTAAAAATACCATCATAGGATGCATTACCATGGCATATTGCTTAGGCTCTTAAGCATATTGCTTAAGCTGGATTATACTTTGTTTTATATACTATAATCACTGACAGTGAGCTTTAGATTCAGCTGAACTTTTTTTTTTTTTTTTTTTTTTTACAAACGATCTTATTTTGCCTTAATCTGACAGTGTCTATTACTCATAAATTGTATTTTTTTCTCCTAAATACATATATATGTATAGCGACGAAAAACTCTCGGGAAGAAATAAAAATAATGTCATGAAAGAATTTCGAAGAATAAACTATACTTTATATGAAAGAGAATTTTAATTTATTAAAAAAAGTGAATAGATGTAATATACAATTTATAATTTTTTTTAATTTAGAAAAGAAATGGAGAATAATTGAAAATTTTATTTACTATATAAGCGTAATTAAAATTTAACTAATTTTACAGTTCCCTGTAATAAAACGTTTTATCTCTAGATCTTTTATAAATTAATAATACATTATATATGCCTCCAAAAATAGTAAAAAATACTTGTCGCTGTTTAACTATAAAATGTGTATTCAGCAATATTATTATACTTAAATTTACGTACAGTTACATTACATAATCATTGACTTTAAAAAAGCAGATTCGGCTGAGCAATATTTTTTAAATTAATGTATGAAAAGTTTACTTTACTGTTACTGAGTACAAAACAAAATCAAATGCAATGAACGCAGTTCTTTAAAATACTCTTTCTACTTTACAGTCTGATGGATTTAAATAAAAATGCGTTTAAATCTTGAAATGTCTAATTAAAAACATTAAATATTTTCATGAAATGTCACTAGTCGAGCTTTTTAAAATCATTACATATATATATGAAATGTAGAATCTCATACTAAGCATCATATAAGCAATGTGATTAGAATTTAATTTAATCAATTTATTTAAAAATATCATTACATATATACTTTTTAATAACTTTTTTATGCCGCTAGCCTCCAAATCACCTAGTTCTAAAAAAAATAATGCAGCAAATATCATAAATGTATGACCACCCCTAACACTTTATCAGGAACTGTAAAGGTACGCTGTTTTTAAAGATTTTGCTGTTGAATTCTATGTGACGTAAGGGCGAAGAAAGAAATGCTTTATAATAAATAAAAGACAAAAAAAAAATAGCTGAAATGAATCCAAGAGGACATTGGTAACCTGCGATGCTTAGTGACAACATAAAAAAAAAAAAAAAAAAAAAAAAAAAAAAAAAAAAAAAAACTTAATATATAATCTGGTGCGACGTTATAATCTGAATATTTTCAGATTCTCCTTTCTTTGCTTTCAGCAATATCTGATGTTGAAACCACATGGTTTCCTTGTGCGGCTTATTAAATTACCTACATTTCATCCTGCACTTCATTTCAGCTTATTTCCTTGAATTTCATTACAGATATATTTCTCATTCAATAAATAAGGTTCTCACTTCGCACCTAGGCAAAAATACGTAAAAACTCAAAACATTTTATTAAAAATTGAAAAATAGTTAACTTCTGGGTCAAATGGTCAAAAACGCAGTGAAGTTGGTGGACCAATTGACTTAGTTCACTGTCCTACTAAGAGTTTCAAATGTAAACAAATGCTGGCCTATTTAATTATCCCACTTAAATTTTTAAATTTCGATAATTCGACAAAAGTTGCAAGCAAATTAAATAAAGGCATGAAAACATTAACTGGAACATAAGACAGCATAATTCAACCCCTTTCAAAGCAAAAAATGCTAAATATCCAACATATAAGAAAAAAATACTGAGCTCATCGAGCCGCGCAAACAGCGTGGGAATATATACATGGGTGTGTGTCTTTGGTGCTGACGGTTGCAGCAACAAAGAGAAGTACATAACTAGATGTTATAGCAGACCCATAAGATATCCGTCTTCTAACTTGTTTCTACGTTTGCTTTGAATTAAGTTCAAATTTCGGAAATGACTATCCATATAAATTAAATAGAAATTATTATATCTTTGCCCAAAGCTCCATTTGGTCAAAATCTGGTTTTTATATGACAAGAAATACCATATATATACTGAAGATGAAAGAAACGTTTTATCAACAAATTATAGTTGTTATAAAAATATTGTTTCAGCTCCGTTTCTGATGAATAACCATTCTTCTGAAACTTGGTTGGTTCTGAAACTTGGCTTCTTAAAGTTGGTTATTTTTCACATTTCATTCATAAAAGAAGCAAGAAGTAATTATGCACCTTGGTCAAATTTTATTATCGCTTAAATAGTTCTCGTATTTGAGCATGAATTTTTTTGTACGATTCATAATTTTTTTTCTAGTTCTCCACTTAATAAAAGAGCGTCTTTTCCTAGGCTTCGGTCCTATCATACAAGTACTAGAATGGAAACCGTTGAGACTATTTTTTCTGAAGTTTTTACAATCAGCATAATTTTCATTGGATTCTTTCGCAGGTAGAAGACTATTGTAAGTAGATAATTATAAGACCAATATTGTAAGTAGATGACCATTGAAATGACAGACAACATTTCTCTAACCAATGTGTGAAGTAATACCTATTCCAGCAAACGCCATTGAAAATCATGGGATCCCACTTTGTTAAATACTTAAAATAAACCTTTTGTTGCATATACTAGTTTGAAATCATTGCATATTTTACCTGATGGTAAAGAATGAAATGAGACGAAAAATGTGCATAAAAGCCTAATCCATCTGGCATAAAATTATAAAACATTTTTGACGCCACTAATCCACTACACAAATTGATCTTGTCACCGGCATTCAATCCCGCTTATGACACCAAAATGTTACACGAGTACGGTGTCGTAAAATATTGATGCACACAAAATCGAGAACAGCTTGATAAAACTTATTTTCTCATAAGAAACACTTTACAGTTCTGGAACATTCCACAAAAGTACTCGTACAGCTCTTCTCAGTACAATAGAGCACAGACAGTAGTTACACTTCAAAAGTACAAAGAATTTTAAACATAATGAAATGCAAAGTGCATCAAAAAGGCGAAGTTCGGAAGCAGACCTCGCAGTACCCCGAAATCAGCTCTAAACTAAAAACTAGGAACTGATGCTCTCTCCGTCTTACCTAGTCCCCCCCGGCCACCGAAAAATTTCCAATACTTTCCATTTCTCGAAATTACTGGAAGGCATATACAATTAAAGTTACATATAAGTGTTGGATACGGTTAAAAGTACATATTGGAGTCAATCAGAGGTATTCAATTAACAGTTACAGTTATACAGCGACCGGAGCAAAACGCTGTCAAGTTTGGAAAATGTTTTAGATTTCTCTCCAAATTTGGCGATCGATATTTCTTTCCAAATTTGGCGACAAGCCTAAACTATCGCCACCTTGGCGATATCTTGCCAATTTACTTACATTTAATTTTTTAATTTACATTTACCTCAATATTAAGTAGACTTCCTCCTGCAATCTTTGTTCCGATAGAGCTTCCTTTTTCTTGAAGCCGTTCAGGTTACGTTATACAAAATTCGTAACAATATATTACATATAAATATTTGTTACTTTACTATTCATTGTTTAAGTAACCATGCACCAATTTCCTTGATGTAATGTATTTAGTTTGTTAAATATAGGCTACGTAAATATTTTCTGATGAACATTCATTACTTAAGGGGACTCGGTACCCCAAAAGTCAATGAAATTACCGAATTTTAAATTTTTTGCTGAAAAAGTACCTTAATACAGTTACTACACTGAAGAAGAATTTTGAAATGATCTGACGATAATAAATGCTATAAAAAGGTTTTTAAAATTTAATGCCACATCCCCTCAGTGTTTATATTTTTTAAATTCTTAATTCTTTCAGTAACTTACTAAAAATCAGTGTAAATGAAGAGGAGTGTAATTAAAGACTCCAACTATCAAAAAACTCTATTTATGCGCATATACTGATTTATTTAAATACAAATTAAAATTGGAAAAAAAAAATTTTTTTCACCTTTAAACTGGCAAGTTTATATATTTATACTGAGCTCAGCAAATAATTTTATATGTATTATTAGTCAACAAAAATGCTATGTTTATTCAAAAGTTGAAATTATCTGTGATTAGATACGAACAGAAAGAGGTGGTGTAATGGAAGTGATCAAATTTCTGACCGTAGCATTATTGAAATAGTGCTGGAACAAACATTAAACTTTTTAATTAATTAAAATGCACATAAATTAATTTAAAATGGAATTTATATACGAGAACAAATGACTAAAATAAGAGAAGAAATCACATAAGCTGCTGAGTGGTTTTAAATAAAATGTTTTATGTCCGTTAAAATTTCAAATTTTGCTTTTTAAAAAATGAATAAAAACGACAAATTAATATTATTAATAATGATTATAAGCGTTTTAGAAAATATATTATAATTAATTGATGCATTAAAATTGTGTTGAGCGTGTTTTAAAAAACAAAAACAGGTAAAGGAAAATTCTACTTGCATTTTATGATATTTTTGCAATATTTCTAGTCAGATAAGGTTTTAAACAAAAGCTTGTAATTTATATTCATATTAATCAATTGAGCAGTATTAAGTTTTATTATATATATATGTGTGTGTGTGTGTTGAAATTCAGTAATATTAATTAATTGTCTTTATGTAAATTGGTAACATAAACCAGTGCTAAGTAATTTCGTTTTTCGAAGCAAAGCAGACACATGTTCTGTGCATTTCAATTATATTTCCAAGACAAAGATAATGTTATGAACAGACCAATCTGCTTCATCGTTCTGAGTTTATAAATAAATTCGTGGTTTGTGAGTAAATTTTTTCAATTGAGTGCATTTCAGTGAATACTTACTAAGAAATTTCTTTTTGTATAACTATTGCTTTACGCTGTTATATAGAAATGCCTTGCTGAGTTGCGCTGTTTTAAATATAAAG